GTGGTTTAGAGACATTGAAATATTTCATTGGATTTTCCCAAAGTTTCTTTTAAACCAGGGGTCATTTCGTTTGTAGCCAAGCAGAGTGACGAGACGATACTCTTTCGTACTTGAATCATAATCGTCCTGTAGAATCTGAGCGTATCGTGTCACTTCAGAATGCTAGTCCATGTGATGTGTCTGTTAACTTTTTTCAATGACCTCTGCAGCGTGAGTGTGGGTGTGCATGTGCTGCGTCAGTATCTGAGGGCTGTCAGTGTCTGGAGCCATGCCACAAGGTTTAACCCCTGCACATTGATCCCCAGGCTGCCCAGGGCTGCTGCCTAATTCTCCAATTTTCAGCTGTTAGAGATAGAATTGGAATAATAAACAGCTGAACTCCCCCCTCTTAAACACACACGCACACACACGCATGCACACACATTGCGTCCCTTCCTCCACTGGGGTAGAGTTTCTCTTTTGGTCCTAATCTCAGCCGAAGCCCAAGCACTCGCTCTCCTGCTCTAATGAAATGATATTGGGTCAATTCTTAGAGGCTGGAGCTGATTATCACTCTAATCACACACACACACACACACACATGCACACTTGTGGTTTATTTGTAGACCCATTAAAGCACAAATAATCCTTACACACTCCTTATACTGGCTAAAGTCTGGAGTTTCAGGCTCTTTTTTTATCAGTGCTTTCAAACAGTGAATTCTGCTTCATTAACTTTTAGACGTTTGTTCAGGGGGAAAAAAACAACTAATGCGTATTATTTTTTAAAATACAAATAAAAAAAGTAAATGTATGGCCGCAGACCAACATATTTAGAAATAGGTGTTTAGTTTCTCTAAAGTAAAACACCCTGGAACCAATTAGCCTGCTAAAGTAATTAAATGAGGTAAAAATAAACTAAATAAATCACTGTCATCACTAAATATCTGTGAACTTCTGTCTTTTTATGTTTTCGAGTCACTTCTCTTGTGTTATTAGATGATTTTTTTCTTCTTTAATATCTTGATTAAAGTCAAACTCAGACAGTCACTCATCCAGGTTTTGATTGATTGGTGTATTGTCTAGCAGTTTTTTTCAGAATTATTTTTTTAAGTGGTTGTTTTTCATTTTTCTGTAAAACACAGTGTTTCTATGTCAAAAAGATGGATCACTGGTGCTTGAAAATAAACCACATGCAGTAAATGATGATGAAACTTTGACATTTAATATTAATCAAATTCCCCAATTTTTAAATGTCACCACTATTTACATTAATATGTTGGTCATCTGGCAAATCTATGTTTTTATTATTTTTTTTAAACATTATTTTTTGGGTTTTTTTTCTTTTCTCTTGTTTAATTTTAAATATTAAAAAAAGAACACATAATCAACAGTTATCGGTTCATTGGTGCTGGTTACACACTTTTTTTTAGTTGCTCTCTCACTGAAAAACTGCAGCTTTGACTGTATGCAGCTGTTAATCATATATTGCTTAGCCAGTCACTCTGTGAGACTGTGTTGCATGCAGATTTCTAGTCAACCAAATTAAATGTAGACCTGATTCATCAGTTCGTCTGCATGAAACCAGCTGACACACCAACACTCTTCATCTCTGGGTGAACAACCTGCTGAATGAGGTGTTGAACTGATGTGCCCTGGAGTATGAGGTCACACTCCAGCGTGTTGACCTGTAGCCCCCGTCCATTTAGAAGTCATTTTCAGGCCGCCATGGCTCTTTTGTCTGCTTCTCATATCTCTCCATTAACCTCACATCTCCAAGTCACCTACACAACCTCCCAAATCTGACAGTAACCCCCCTGTACCGCGGGCTGCTCCCATCTGAATGTCCAGCTGAGTGTTTGTGGAGCCTGAGCCGTCACAAGTGTGCAGAAATATCTTAATGCAGTGAAGGAGTTGGGATCTTTGAGAGTGACACCTGTCAAAGCGGCTCATGTTACACAGGAACTTTTCTCTGTCTGTTTCTCATTCACACTCTCTTTTGAATGTTTTCTCTCTCTCTCTCTCTCTCTCTCTCTCTGGCTCAGTTCTTGGCTGATCTGTTGTGAGGGCCCTGAAGTCTTTGTGTTTCAGTATGTGCTGGACTCAGCACGCTGCCTGCGTCTTCACACTGCTGCCTCAGCTCTAATAAGGCAACAGAGTGATAGAGAGAGGGGCAGAGTTGTGTGCTTTCAACATCCCTACTCAACCGTACCCTCACCTCACCCCCCACTGAGACACCATTAGCAAATCTATTGAGGATCCCATATTAGGGAAAACATTAGGAGTCTAATTGTGGTTCCAAACTGGGCCTGGCTGAGTGTGTTAAGTTTTGTAACCACACTTAATGAGTCGCAGTGTTTCCTCCAATGGTTTTATTGCCCTGCATTCCAATTTGAGCCATGTCACTGACCACTGGGGCATCTCCTAAAATAGCTCAACCCTCATGTCTTACACAAAGAGCTTCCTCAGAGGCCATGTGTTTAAAGGGTAATTACAGTCTATTACAACATAGCTCTTGTTTGTGTAGTTTGGGTCATTATTTCTGTTTGACATTGCATCTGCTGAACTAAGTGAAGCCAGACAGATCTCAGCACTGATACAAGAAAGTCAGACGTGGCAGAAAAAGAAATCAGGAGCAAGTCATGTGACTGTATTTAGAAATCAAACTGTGTGTATGAGGTAAGCGCCGTCAGAGGTCAGCCATTGTTCCACCCTGTGCCTTTAATTTTCACTCATACAAAGAGAAAAACCTTTGAATTGTAACTAATATATTGATTTTGGGGTGATTTTGCTGCAGACCCAGCTCTTAAACGTAGGATTAATGTTTAGGGTTATAACACTAGACGACACCTTTCTATCTCAACTATTCGGGCAGCAAATATCTCCGGTCACGTCGTGTCACATGATGACGTGCATGTGATGCATTGGTAACCAAACCATATGACCACAATGTCCTGCTCCATTTTCAGCTGGTCCACTCACTCTCTGGGCTTATCTGGATAGGTGTGTGTGTGTGTGTGTGTGTAGGTCTGGGTGGGTGGTATCCATTATAGTGCGAGTGTTATAGCACCGCAAAGAAGTAGGATTGTGGAGCCGCGGCTCCGTGTAACAGGAGGAGATGACTGGACCATGTGGCCCTTGGTGTGCTGCTAAAAACAGCCTGACAGCTGAGTGTGAAGAGCAGTAAATGAAACTGGGACAGCACCTGACTCTGAGATGGATGGAGAACAGAAACGTTTGGTAAAGTAAAGGTTGGTTTAGTAAAGCCTACGGTATACAAATGAATCAGTGTTTCATTGGTAACTCTACCTGTTTTGGTATAGTGGTGTGTTTTACATGTTGCCAGAAAATGAATCACAAATGATTACAATATTACACCATTTAAAACTAATAAATACTCATCTCCCTTTTTGGGACTAAGCTTTAGTATCAGCTTCACATTACTGCCAACTGGACCGGGTCATTTTCTGTATTTCTTATTCCATGGCTTTTTGGGACCTTGACATTGTTGGAGATATTAATAACACAGGTTTTTAATGGCTTTCTTTAAAACTGTTTTTTTGTCGCCTATTTATAAGTTATAATTTTTTTTAAATTTTAGAAATAAAGCCGAACCGTCCAATCCAAGGTTGGATTTCAAATTAAATATCAATGTTAGATGGAAGAATTCTAGCCCTATGGCAAATAGAGTTGGTGAGCCCTGTTGTACCATTGAGAGGAAAATGGACACAGGAGATAACCATATATGATATATGTGATTGACAGATGGACTGTCCAACAGGAGCCTTCCTCCAGGATTCTTACATATGGACACTTCAGTTGCGCTTTATCTTCTGTTTTCCTCTAAATAGCACTTTATTTTGCAAAGTTAACATAAAAGTCCATATACTGTTTACGTTGGCAGTAAATTTCAAGAACTTTGACCAGTGATGTCACACTCTTAACCAATGTCAATAAAGATTGTATGGTTGACACCAGCACGGCCCTTATTTTCACAATGAGCCGAAATGTAAAGGACAAGGAATCACCAACTCGCTTTCACTTTTCAATGTCGTGACCTTACGAGTGTGTGTCCCATCCCGCGCTGTTTACATTCAGCAAGCTGTGGAAGATGGTCGGAATTGAACGTCATTCTTCCACCAGCAGGTTAGCAAAAGAAATCCTTTGATTCCGTGGTATTCTTTGGTTCGTTTTGTTTGTTTTTTCAGTGTCATCTGCTTCTGAGATTCAACAATGTTTTTATGTGCAATAAGATTTTAACCAAAACAATAAAAGAAATTAAATATTGATCCATCCTCAAAGCTACAGTGTGAAGGATCTAGTAACTCAGGGCAGTGGGTGGTGGTGTGAGAGAAAATGCAGTAGCCCTTAGTTTTCATTAAACACAAAGCCATTTCTTTTGTCAACAGTGGGCTAACTGCCTGTGTACAGAGGACCGCCTCCTGATGCTCATGAAGAAGGTGTACAGAAGACCGCCTCCTGATGCTCATGAAGAAGGCTCATCCAGGGTTAATGAAGAAAACTATTTATACTTTAAGGTGAGCGGAAAGCATCATTACAATATTTTAAATTATATTTCATCTTAATGTAATTAAGCCTTTAACACATCAAACACAACTGTTACAATAAAAAGGTGACGAGGCAAATTACAACTGAAATGTTCAAATTGGACTAATTTTTGAGAGCAACATTTTTAAGAAAAAATATCAATGTTGATTAGAAGAAAAATAATAAAGAGTGTAGGTGATCATTTTAGGAGGGCATTGTATGCAGACAGATTTACAAAAGTTTGACTTTGCAAAGTTTGTGTGATCTTGACTGACCAGCCTGCAGTCCAGATAGAGTTGTATTAAAATATTTGGCAATAAACTACAACCACCACATGGAACTAGTGGTTAATGACGGTTAAAAGAATAAAAGTACAAACCATTTATACTTTTGCCTGATTTTAAAAAAAGAGAAGTTCCATTTAAAAAATAACATATTTTGTATTGATTTTTAGTATAGGCTCTAACCTTGTGTTGTCAATTTAATTAGGGCCCTTTGAAAATAAAAAAAATAAATAAAATTTGCCTGGACTGGAGGATGTCAGTTGACTAGGCTGTCTCCACTCTGTCCTGAGGATAGATTGTGTTCATGCTTGCATAGGAATGTGACCACATGTGTCCTTAAACCACCTCAGCATGAACGTCTTTTTGCTGTGAAAGGATTCAAGTCGCATTGTATTCATTCTGACGTAGACTTAACACAGACCTCCCTCATCTACAGCAGAATAACCCATTACTACTGTGTTTGAACTGGGTTCTTACATAATCAAACACATTTTCAAAAACAGAGTTGTGGACTTTTGACTGAGTCATGGGTGGAGCTTACTGTTAATTACTAAATACCCCCCAAACCATGTGCTTTCTAACTGCAGCACTTTCTTTTAATGCTTCTCAAAAACAGTGTGTCAATGTGACATTTTTGACAGAGTTGAGCTGCAATAGAAAATGAGTTAAAAACATGTTGCTCCTGTTGTTGAACACTGGGTTGAGATTTGAAATTTAACAGGTAAGATTATGGAGAAGTGTATATTTTCAAGAGTCTTCATCATTGTCAGCTTTAGTTGGTAGAATAGAGAGGCTGTTCACTGTTTTTTTTTCTCCCTTCAATGACAATCTGACCACTGTTCTTCCAGCTCTTTTTTTTTTTAATTCTCCAGGGACTAACCAAACTCACCGGTCATTTCCCTCCAACCAAAAGTCTCTTTCTCCCCTGTCATCTGTGTCCAGGCTCCAGTGTGAAGCCGCTTTCTCCTCCAGAACAGGATTGGTCAGTCCTCCACCCTCGGTGCTGTGCTGCCCTCCCCTCATACTCTCTCTCTCTCTCTCTCTTTCTTTCTCTCCCCTGTCTCTTTTTCTTTCTCTCTCTCCACTTAAAGACTTTTAGCATAAAGAGAGAGAGAGAGAGAGAGGGAGGGGATGAGAGGGGGATGGGAGATCCATGGGGGAGGGGAACTGAGTGTTCACTCTGTTGTCACTGACCACAGCAAGAGAGAGAGAGGGAGAGAGAGAGTGTGTTGTGAGGTTGTGTCCCATATCTGGAGGAAAGCATATCAGTGCACACACACAGGGGTCTGCTCTACTCCAGGGATTATTCTCGTGCTTTCAGCTCTGATGGAGGACATGCAGTTATGAATAGGTAAGACCTGACGCTCTCCTCTGCATCTCTGTGTTCATCTGCTGTCATGCTCCACGGCTGCTGCTGCTGCCGCCGCTGCTGCTGCTGCTGCTCTTTGACTGAAGTTAAGAGAAGGTCCAGGGCTGAGCGTGCTGACCAGTCTCCCCTCTTAGACCGCTGACCACTGCCTGGTTCCCCTAACTCAAACCTTCCCGCTCCGCTCTCTTCCCCCCCCCCCCCCCCCTCCTCAACCTCGCCATAAACTGTGCAGGGACAGAAGTGTTTGTTTTCAGTAGAAGCTGTGGTTCGCTGCAGCCGTGTGGTTAGTTACTTATTCAGAGTGTTAAAAGTTGACAGTCAGGTAGAGCAAAAGTGGGTCGCAGTGGGAGCTGGTGTGTGTGTGTGTGTGTGTGTGTGTGTGCAGCCTGTTGGTGTACAGGGTCAGCCGTGTGGTCATTGCGTAATTTCTTGTCCATGTGAATGCTACATGATTGGATGTATGCAGGTCTCTGCCCTGTTGTTTATTTTTATACATGCTGGGAAAGATAAGACTCTCTGTTAGTGTTAGAAAAAGAAGGAAATGTTTCACTTTCATGAGGTTTGGAGATTTTTTTTTTCTTGAATTCCCCATATTACACATGCATAGTATTTTTTAAGTTTTGTGTAATTTTTTTATTTAAAGAAATTCCATTTTGGCCAAAAATGAGCACTGATATTTGTATTGCGATTAATGTTAACCTTAAATTATTAATTAATGAGTATACAATTTTAAGAGTACATTCCTAGATACATTAAAATTGTTTTAGTTTTTGTTATAGTTTCATTATATTTATATGGTATTTCTGTTTCATTATAGTATTTAATGGCTGTTGTTTCATTGGATGAGCTCCAACAGGCAGAAAAATATTCACATCTAAATAAACCTGGAATCTTTACATTAGTGCAGGATGATAGTGACATGTTTTATAACTCGTACCATATAAGAATAAAAAAAATAAAAATAAAACGACTAATAACCAGCATGATTTTACTTTTTTAATTATTATCGATGAAAACTTTTTTTCATGCTGGGAAACATTTCCCCCCGTGTCTTGCCTGCAGTTGCTGAAGTATTGGATCTCCTCTAAGAATGCAGCCTTTATTGCCCCCAGTGTACAGACCAGTGGTATGCATGAGTCTTTTTGTGGGGCAGATTTAGAAAGACCTCTTTAGAAGCTGGACGCTGCAGCTCCACAATCAGCTTAATGCCTCCCGATAATGAATACCCCTGTGTGTGTGTGTGCGTGTGTGTGTGTGTCAATTGACCAGACTGTGCGTGTGCACGTTTGTGTCAGCGCAACTGCGAGTGCATGAAAATCCTTCCTTGTTATAGTGATATTTGTGCCCACATTCCCAGTTTCTTCTCTCTGTCTTTGTGTTTAGGATTAAGTTTCTGTTGCCGTGTGAGATTCTGCAGTGGTCACTTGAACTGTGTGTTTGTGTTTAGACATTGTGCAGCAGCCTGTAACTGCCTCACCGTCTCTCCCCCCCCTCTCTTTCAGGGTCGTTCTGTCAGTACAAGCTCATGCCAGTGATGGACTGCAGCCGGACGGACACTAACCTTAGCTGGTTTTCACAGAGCAGCATTCCTCTTTACTGAGACCAGCACCACAGAATGCTGAGTCCTATTGTTCCCTATAGT